ATGGGATGGGTGACACCTCTGGGCATTCTGCTGCTGCCACACTCACACTGGTCAGCTGCTTCTCCTTAGCAGCAGGCTCTATGTGGTCAACCAGGTGGCTACTCATGCTATTCCCACCCAGTGACCAGACAGGGAGCAAGGCAGCAGTGCCACTTCCCTGGCTCAGGTGACATGGCCAACCCTGGAGAAAGGTTGGCCCTCCCCAGGCAGAGGGGACCTGATTTCCTGTGGGGTTGCCCTCCTGTCCCCCAGCCTGTTCCAAGGCCCACTTCCCCCATCCCAGTCCAGNATGGGATGGGTGACACCTCTGGGCATTCTGCTGCTGCCACACTCACACTGGTCAGCTGCTTATCCTTAGCAGCAGGCTCTATGTGGTCAACCAGGTGGCTACTCATGCTATTCCCACCCAGTGACCAGACAGGGAGCAAGGCAGCAGCGCCACTTCCCTGGCTCAGGTGACATGGCCAACCCTGGAGAAAGGTTGGCCCTCCCCAGGCAGAGGGAACCTGATTTCCCGTGGGGTTGCCCTCCTGTCCCCCAGCCTGTTCCAAGGCCCACTTCCCCCATCCCAGTCCAGCAGTTAGCACAGGGGGGCCTGGGTACCTAAAGCTTGACCATCCCCTATCCTCTGACCCCCACAGGCTTGGGTGGCATGACCAGCAAGCGAATCACCATCAACAAGATTCTGTCCAATGAGAGCCTTGTGCAGGAGAACCTGTACTTCCAGGTGAGCGTGGGGCCCAGCCAGTGCTGAGGATGCTGGGCCAGAGATCCCAGGGAGGAACGAGGCTCCCATCCTCATATCCTTGGGGCTTCTGTGGAGAATGGCCAAGGGCTCAGGGGCTCCTGTCTCAGAGCACCTCACTCCTGTGCTAAAGACGGAGGGTAAAAGGGTGACATAGGAGACTAGAAGCAAGCAGGAGACCTGGGAAGGAAGGTATACCAGGCAGTGCCAAAGAGCCAAGATCTCTGTTAGACTAGAGCCCATGACATTTGGGGAAGGTGCAACCCTTTAAAATATAATGAAAGCGACAGACTTACTCTCCAGAAAAATGCTTATATGAACATGCACCCTGAACTTTGATTAGTTTTAAGAGATCACAGATCCCTAAAGCTTTCTGTCTGTGCATGGATCTCACCTTCTGAGTCTTTTAGTCTCAAAGGTTGCATCCAGAAGTAGAAACCAGTTATATTTATTTGAATTAAATCTCTATTTGCATGGTGTATTAGTCCATTTTCTGTCACTGATAACAGAATACCTGATACTGGGTAATTTTTTTTTTTTTTTTTCTTAAAAGATGACCGGTAAGGGGATCTTAACCCTTGACTTGGTGTTGTCAGCACCAGGCTCAGCCAGTGAGCTAACCGGCCATCCCTATATGGGATCCGAACCCGTGGCCTTGGTGTTATCAGCACCGCACTCTCCTGAGTGAGCCACGGGCCGGCCCTCTGGGTAATTTAATAAGGAAATGAAACTGCTTTCTTACAGTTTTGGAGGCTGGGAAGTCCATAGTCCAGGGGGTGCATCTGGTGAGGGCCTTCTGGGTAGGAAGTCTTGACAGACAGTCCTGTGGTGACACAGGGTGTCACTTGACGAATGAGCTGAGCAAGAGGGAGCTTCTCATTTGTGTCCTGATAAAGCCATCAGAACCATGCCTATGACAACCCATGAACCATAAACCTATTACTCCATGAATGGATCAATCTATTAACAAGAGTACAGTCCTCACAATCCAATCACCTCTTAAAGGCCCCACCTTCCACCATCATATTGGGGGTTAAGTTCCAGCATGAACTTGGGGGGATGTTCAAATCATAGCACCTGGGCATATTTAAAAGGACCAAGTTTTTAAAAATTAAAAAGCAGAAAACTCAACTCAAACTGGTTTAAACCAAAAGGCATGATTGGCTCATATAAGTGGGAAGTCCAGCAGTGATATGGATTTCAGGAACAGGTTGATGATCGGGGCTCCAGTTCCATTTCTCCATACTTCTTGGGCTCTGCAGGTGCCCTCATGGTAGGAGCATGACTGCAACAGTTCAAGGCCTCAGACCCACCCAGCACACCACCCACAAAGACAGAGGTCTTATATGCCCTCGACAATTGAGCAAGGACTTGCATTTCACTCTGATTGGGCCAACCTGAACCAGTTACATGGCCAGGGGAGTTCCATATGTTGATTGGCTTAATCCTGGGTTACTGCCCATCCCTGAACCAATCACTGGGGCAGGGAGGTAGGGGTGAGAATTCACTAATTAGCCTTCACCTAGAGGTGGGGTGGGGCAGGGAGGTAGGGGTGAGAATTCACTAATTAGCCTTCACCTAGAGGTGGGGTGGGGCAGGGAGGTAGGGGTGAGAATTCACTAATTAGCCTTCACCTAGAGGTGGGGTGGGGCAGGGAGGTAGGGGTGAGAATTCACTAATTAGCCTTCACCTAGAGGTGGGGTGGGGCAGGGAGGTAGGGGTGAGAATTCACTAATTAGCCTTCACCTAGAGGTGGGGTGGGGCAGGGAGGTAGGGGTGAGAATTCACTAATTAGCCTTCACCTAGAGGTGGGGTGGGGCAGGGAGGTAGGGGTGAGAATTCACTAATTAGCCTTCACCTAGAGGTGGGGTGGGGCAGGGAGGTAGGGGTGAGAATTCACTAATTAGCCTTCACCTAGAGGTGGGGTGGGGCAGGGAGGTAGGGGTGAGAATTCACTAATTAGCCTTCACCTAGAGGTGGGGTGGGGCAGGGAGGTAGGGGTGAGAATTCACTAATTAGCCTTCACCTAGAGGTGGGGTGGGGCAGGGAGGTAGGGGTGAGAATTCACTAATTAGCCTTCACCTAGAGGTGGGGTGGGGCAGGGAGGTAGGGGTGAGAATTCACTAATTAGCCTTCACCTAGAGGTGGGGTGGGGCAGGGAGGTAGGGGTGAGAATTCACTAATTAGCTTTCACCTAGAGGTAGGGGTGGGGCCAATTCAACCCAACAACATGCCGTGGGGAGATGGGGGTGGAGTGGATGCCCAGGAAGCAATGCAAGGCCCACTGAAGTTTACAAAATGCCTCACTGGCCATTGGAAAGTTGACTTCATTAAAACTACCCCCTCTGTGGTCATTTCCTGGCATCAGGTAGAGCCAAGGTCAAATCGTGGCCTCCACGTTTGGCGGTAAGACCTGGGACAACTCACTAAGGACTCTTTGCTTCCCTCATTTCTAAAAAGGGGATAATAATGGGATCTACCTCATGGGGTTGAAGCTTAAATAAGTAATCTATGTAGAAAGCACTTAGGACAGTGCCAGGCCCTTGTACACGTTAGCTTTTAAAATAATTACCAGAATCATCATTGGTATTATTCCTACCTCATGGGGTGGCCTGAGGAGTCACTGAGATACTGTGTGGGAGCACTGAGCACAGGGGCTGGCTGTCAGTAAGTGCTCAGTACATGACAGCTACTGGTATATTTCTGTGACCTTGCTCTGCTTTGTTATTGTTATTACTGTGTTCCTGAGCCCTGGTGGAGAGGGCCTGGGAGAGATGGCAGGGAGCCAGCTGAGCACTGGAAGTGTCCCTAGAGTGCCAGGGCCCTGGCCTGATGCTGTAGACAGGTGGGGTTGATAATGTGCCAGGTGTGTGTCCCCTTACCTACACGCCCTCCCTCTTTCCCTGCCTGCCCAGCGCTGCCTGGACTGGAACCGCGACATCCTCAAAAAGGAGCTGGGACTGACAGAACAGGACATCATTGATCTTCCCGCCCTGTTCAAGATGGATGAGAAACGCCAGGCCAGAGCCTTCTTCCCAAACATGGTGAGGCCCTCTGGACCCCAGCCCTCACCCCATGCCAAGTAGGGGTCAGCCAGATCCAGAAAGATCCCTGAGCTGAGACTGTTTAGTTAGGAGGTGCAGGTCCCAGTCCAGGCTGAGCTGCTGTGTGAACTTACCCCAGGGACTTGCCCTCTCTGGGCCTCCATTTCCTCCCAGGGGTAATATGCTTGTCCGAGCTGCTTCACTGGGGTACTGGGAATCCTTTACCTTAACAGTTAGGAAAGTACTTTGCAAAAAGTAAAAAGTCCTTTATGTACAGGAGAAATTCTTGTTATCATAGAAGGGAGGTTTCCATGAGATGGAAAGAGTTTAGAACAAAACACACACACACACAGGTATATATACACACATACACACACACACATACACACATGCACACAGAAATGCATACATACGAGTACATACCTACACACGTATGCTCATTTATGCGCACATGTACATGTACACACTGTTGTGTGTGTATATATCCACGTGTACATACATGTACACGCACTTGTGCATGCTTTTGCACACCCGTACATACAGAGGCAGATTGCCTGGTTTTCCACTTCAGCTCTGCCATTTATGAGTTGCTTAGCCTTCTCTGTGCCTCAGTTTTCTCATCTATAAACGGGATAATCAGTATTTACTTCACAGGGTGGTTGTAAGTTTCAATGAGCTTAGAACAGGGCCTGGCACATAGTAGGTGCTAACTAAATAGGAGCTGTTGCTGCCTCGGTCCCCCATCACAGGTGAACATGATCGTGCTCAACAAGGACCTGGGCATCCCCAAGCCATTCGGGCCACATGTTGAGGAGGTATGCTGCCTGGAGACCCATGTGCGTGCCCTGCTGGAGCCCCTGGGCCTTGTCTGCACCTTCATCGATGACATTTCTGCCTACCACAAGTTTCTGGGGGAAGTCCACTGTGGCACCAATGTCCGCAGGAAGCCCTTCACCTTCAAGTGGTGGCACATGGTGCCCTGACCTGCAGGAGCCCTCATACTTCCCTCCTTCCTGAGTTCTCCAGACTCCTCACTCCCCCTAGATCCTCCCCCTGCCTGACATGGACTGAAGGACCCTGCTGGGAGACCTTGAAGAAATGGGGTGGGATCTGGGGTATCTGCACCTGGTCCTCCCTGAGAAGGGCCTTGGTGTCCATTGAAGACACCACTCTGTCCTTCCTGAAAATAGCTGGGCATTTGGCCAGTGTCTGTATAGCCCCAACATGAGAAACAAAACAAAACAAAACCAAAAAACATGTATCCAAACCATTCCCAAAGAATTCTTAGTCTCCAGTCCCAAACCGAAAGAGGGGGGAACAGAAGGAGGTCTTGGATGGCAACTTCTCCCAGCAGCCATGCCCCGAAGTTCAAGATAGAACACATGGAAAGGGACCCTGTGACCCAAGATATACCTTGAACTGCCACCATCATTTCAAATTCGCCTCCCTTGAAGTTTCCAGGTGGCCACCCCCAATTGTTCATTCCTTACCAGCCTCTCTTTACTCCCTCTCTTTACTCCTTTCTCTCTGCAGTGTAGACACCATTGGCTAGCCCTCCCTGCTCTTTGAGGGTCCAATAATGTAGCTTAGAATCTTCCCTGGAAACAGATTTTATCAGAGCAATTTCTCCATTTGTGAGATGCAGACACAGCCTCCCCCAGATGCTTGGGGACTTCTCCCCAGACCAGCATCTTGTGGTAAAGATGCCCCAGGTCAGCCACATCTGTCTTCTCCTGCCTGGTCCTTGATTCTCTGGCCAGTCCCTGACTTCCCTCCTCCCACCACCTTGACTTCCTTCCTGTTCCTGATGCCGTCTCTCTGGGCAGCTAGACAAGCACTTCATCATCAGCTAGATGTAGGCCTTCCCCGGGGCATAATTAACAAACTGCCCCTCCTCCCCAGACATCAGGCCCAACACTTAAGGACCCTGGCCTACCCTCCAGACCACAGCCAGTTCTGGGCCTTACAGGCAAACTGATTATCCTATTGAAATTCACCAGTGCATTTGCCATAGACCCTCTCATTTGGACATATCCAAATTAATTCCCTGGCTCCAACTGAAAAGACTCAGTTGCAACTTTAAGAAATTCCTTTAGGTCCAGGAGAATAAGTGAGCTATAATTCCACTTTGAAGGTTAAAGTTTATAAATTTGTGTTCTTGGGGAAACGGTATTTTCATTTTGGATTATTTCGTTCAACCATTCGACGAACATTTGTGTGCCTAAGTGCTAGGCCCAGTGTTGGGCTCTGAGAACACAGCGGTTAGTGGCAAACTGGATCTGGTCCCTACCTGCATGGAACTGGTCAGTTCCCAACATGCAAAGCCCACATGTAAATGGCCAGCATCTGCCCCTTCAGTGATGTGCTCTTTAGAAATGCCAGTCCACTATGTTCAGGAAATGCACAGGGCACAAACCTTCCTGCAAGTCATTGTCTTGGTGAAATGGGAGGAGGGGTCTTCTTTAAACAGGGCCCCTTTCCCATCCAGCTGGGCCAATACCACCTATCAGATCAGACCCCAGAGCCTTCAGAAGCTGTTGTCCCTCTTCTAGGGACAGTGGCTCCTGTCTTTGAGGGCCAAAGCCCCAGATCTTCTCTCCAGCCCCAGAGCTAAAAACACCAAGTGCCTCTTTGAGGGTGTTTATCTGGAGACTTAGAGTTTGTCGTGTGTGCTTGGTTAATGTGGGTTTATGGGCTTGCTTTCATTTATTTCTAGTATATGTTAAGGGGAAGTGAGCACCTCCCATGTGGAGATAGTGTGTTTTTGTAGATTTTTCTAAGGCTCTCCCCATCAATAAGTAAATAATGTCTGATGTTTCTGGAGCCCCCAGGGCTCAGACACCTGTTACCATCTCACTTGCCCAGCCAGTATGACGATCGACCCCTGGCGTGGACAAGCCCCCTGGAATCATCAGTCTTCCCCACCCCTGACTTTCTATAAATGTGGGCCTCAAACAGGCTTAGCTGTTGCAAAACTCAGCTAACTTCCTGTTTCTATCTTTATTTTGAAATGTTTCATGTAAGAGGTCATGGGGGTGTCATGAAGATGGCCAGAAGCAGGGCACAGTTTCAGATTTCTGGAAGAGAGGCCGTGATGGAGATCAAAAGATGTTTGGGGAAGAGCCTGACTAAAGAGCAATAAAATAAACTGTCCAAGGGGAGTTCTGTGGCAATTGGTGTGATGTTCTTTGCTGCTTCATAGATGTGGCCTGGAGTGATGCTGACCACACATGGGCCCTCTCCTGCTCCTGCAGCCCCTGTTATTCTAGGTGCAGGATCTGGGCTCTCAGCAGGAGTATCTCACGGGTTTGGAATTCCCCACCCACTGAATGACTGTGAATTACATGTTCACCACCCGGGGTCAAGACCAATACCCACCATCAAGTCTGACTATATTTTTCTGGTGGAGTTTCCCAGAAGTAGACCCTGAGATGAGCATTTGGGAACAAGTGATTTATTAAGAAAGAGGCTCCAAGAAAAATTAGTAAGGGAGGTGGCAGAGCAGGACAGGGAAGGGGAAGAAGCCAAACAAGGGGACAATTGTAGGTGCCCCAGCCTGATCCCTGGATTGCTCTGGAGCATAAATGGCACCTCAAAGTTCTTCTGTCTTGAGGCTGAGTCTTTGGATACCTGCACCAGTCAGTCTTTGGCTCTCTGAATAGGTGAGAGGGTACCAGTAGCCCACAGGCAATCATCTAAAGAAGACTGCAGCTGTAGCTACTGGGAACAAAGTCACAGGAGCTGGGAAAAGGATTCACAGAACCAGAAAAGGATGTGGGCAGGGCACCAACAGTCACCACTGCTCTGGGAAATACTATGTTTTTATAATAGGAAATTATTAGGGCCGGCCCGTGGCTCAC